TGTGTGTGTGTGTGTGTATTTACCTACATAACACACGTGCCACTTTACGGTATGTAATAAATATATACATAACTTAGCGTTTTTGTCCGTATATGTATGTCGCAGCATGAACCATCGGGCCGAAAAATAAATTATGCCATTATCTACTCTTCCTCTTTCCTTGCCTTAAATGCACATTCGCGTCCTATATCATGGACGTACTCGAAATCTTTTAACTTTTCGAGCTACGAAGAAGCTTTCGTGACCGGATCATTTAACTAATGTGTACTATACAGCAAGAAGACTGCTGAAATTTTACTCCCTTCGAATTTTAATACTCTTAGATTTTCATTTCTGGAAATAAAGTCTATAAGATCCTCGAATATTTTATTCTAAGATTTTTGAGAATTCAAATCCTAATTTTCAAATATATCGATACTATAATAAGATGGTCGTTTTCTCAGATCCTTAGGCTTTTAATTCTTAAGTTTTAGTATCTTCGGTCTCTAAATCGTAGAATAGAATCGTTACAATCTTCGAAGTCTATGATCACGTCGTGTATCTTTGGATTTTCATATCCTCGGATTCTAGGACTTTTTAAAATAAATATTCCTAAATTATCAAATCTTTTACATTATTTAGAATTCTTAAATCTTAGAATTTTAAGTTCCTATTGCTAAATTATTCACTTTCTCTAATTTACAGGATTATAGGAAAGACACTAAAATTGTCTAAATTATCGCGTATCTGCGATTGCAACTTCTGTAAACGACAACATAGTTTCCCCTCGAAGTATTTTAAATACGTTTCTCATACGGGAATGGAGCAGATGGGATTGTGAAAAGGTCTGCCGCGATCTTCAGGAGGAACATCGGGCTCTAAAAGATATTTTCAAATGGCCTTCTTCGAACCTTCGTTACTCGCGTTGAGCAAGTGCGCATACTCTGTTCGGTTTGATAGTTGTATCAGAACGTCCTCTGCAAAAAATCAATCGGCTCGGAAAAAGAGTTCTCATCTCGCGACATGTTAATTGTCGGGAGAAAATAAAATTTAAAAAATATTTACCGAAGCTCACTGTGTGAACGTTTGGCTTTCTGGCCTGCTGAAAAATCCTGTTGGACTCCTCTGCTTGCATATGTAACGATAACCTCAAGGCTTTCCTGAGTTCCGACTGCGTCAGACACATTGTCATTTTCGAACCGCATACCTATGACACAATATGATCGCGTAAAAATAAAATTTTATATACTATGTATATGGCACAGCTGTAACCGTGCATACTTACGTCGAATGCAATCTTGACCTTGTCTAGTTCCGAAGATGCATTCGCCGTTGCCAGCACAGTGAAGAT